TTCAAAACACGGACGCTCTGCACAATGGCCTTACAGGACAGACTGTTTTATATTTTGATGTTTCTACCTCTTTGTTTGTCGATAAAAGTAAGTGAAAATGATCAGAAACGTGAAGTATTTTAAAAATTTTTGCACAATACTTGCACTGAAAAATCACATGATTGTTTAGAAAATGGCCCGCAACTGCCTTAAGTGTTTAGAGAAAATCCGAAAATTTAATAGATTTAAGGAGTATACTAATAGTAAATACATCATAAAATTTCATAAAACATAATTTTATTTGTAATTCATATAATATTTATTGTGATTTTTAATTTACAGTTGTATAATAATACAACTATTTTTACGATATTGGTTTTTTTAAATAAAAAGTACAACTGTAATATTTCTAACATAATATAAAATAATATACTATAATAGTTATTAACTTTTATTATTACAGTATAATAGCGTATATAATATAATTGTTATTCTTTAAATATAATTGACGAAGGCAGATTATATCATATTTAATATAATAAATGATGATGAGCAAATTGAGATTTAAAGAAAGTGATAAAGCAAGGTGACATAATGAAACTATATAAACTTTTGTATGACCATATAAAATGTTTAATATGGTATTAAACGGCATTAGCCTTTAATTTATATATACTATGTACACTGAATCTTGTCACAAAACAATTACAATTTATGTTTTTTTTCGTATTAAAAGTTGATTTTATAAAGATTTAAGCTTAAATCGTGATTTCTAAATTTTTTTTTTCTAAAAAACCACTATGGAGTCGTATAACTTAAAGCTTATTGTTGTGGAGATTCTTTAAAGTTTATAAAAGCTTGCCTGAAAACATATTATATTTGTTTTATATTTTTGACATTTTTTTTGTAACTACTGAGTTTCAATAATTTCTGCTTTGTGGTAGAGCTTATAACAAAGTTTCAAATTTCAAAACGATACAAGTACCCTTTAAAAATCTTTGATGGATTTGATTCGAAAAAAAAAAATTGTGAAAATATATATCAATGTATTATTATAATTAAATATTTCAATCCACTTACAATTTAAAATTAACTGAACTATATATTTTCTGTATTTTAAATGGTGAAAATATTACATTCCATTATGAACAAAAGAAATCGTAATTATTATTATGTGATAGAACACCTTAATAAATTTATCGTGTACATTTTTTAAATAAATACTAACTGAACACAGAATAATATATCAATTATTATGGCTTAAATTAAATAAAGTTTTATAAAATAATATTGAATGAGAAAAATATATAATATGTTTCTGATAGAATTATAATTTTTAACTTTGTACTACCCACATAATTTTTTTGGGTATCAAAAACAAAGTACGCACTGCAGAACGTAGTTTTAGTATGATAACGACAATTTAATCATTATGATAAGGATTTTTTTTTTAAATCTCTACAATATCAATACTTTATGTTTGAATATTTAAAAGACAATATTATCATTGTTTGTCTTTGGTTATACTTGCATAGTGGTTGAGATTTTGTTATTTTTGGTAAAATTTAGTAGTTATTTACTGGATGATAATTGAATTTCGATTTGCTTATAATATTGATTGAATTTAGATATGTTTTTGTTTCATTTTAAAAGATTCTATTTTTAAAAGCATTTTATATGATTTTGATTTCTGTGTATTCAACTAAACTTGGTTAATAGAAAAATGTTCATGTTATCTCCTCAAATCCTAAACCATTTTAACCATACATATAGTTTTTATTTTCATTTACATTTATTAATTTTATTATATTGAAGTATAAATGACTTTTAAATTTAAATTTTGTGCATTTTAACTATATAAGAATATAACTCTTATACTTGTTAATAACTATAAGATTTAAATTTTAAGCCCCGATATGAATGATAAAAAAGTATATACTCACACTGACAAATCTTAATTGAATTAATTTGTATATTAATATTTTGTTTTAAATTACAAACAAATATATAATTTAATATTTTAAAGTGTCAACTCAATTGATAGTTTAAATTAATAATATTATTAATTATTAAAAACGTTTTAAAATGTAAATGCAAATATTTAAAACGAATATTTACACAATGAACACAAATCAAAAACTGAAAAAAATAATATAACAAGTATATCATATGTATAGTATAATATACCCATGTAAGTATTTTAAAACAATTTCATCACTTTTATTTTTGATAACTTATTACTCAGCTAATAACAATTTATTTCTAGAATTATTGTATAAAATCTTTAGTTCAAAACGAATCCAAGCAATCCAACTGAATTATCAATCGTCCCTTACAAACGGGCGGAAAACAAATTTATAATTAAATGTCACTGCAAAAGTGCGGGCATTGATCACACCGTCTTTTTATATAAGTAAACTCAAGGAACGCTCAAACAAGCGTGCATAATATTAATGTATTATTATAAAAAATATTTTTATTTTTTTAAATTATTCAAACCCGGTACCAAATTATATTGTTTACCATAAAAACTTCGTGTGCGTAACAATAATACTCGGCATACAAACACAACGGTTTCACATCATGGCACAGCGGTTGACCTGCGGATTACGGGTGGACGCTGCAATATGCGATAAAAGATCAAATAAATATGACTTATGTTTTAAGTATTAATATTAGAAGCGCGTTTGTCAGCGGGGAGAAATGCGGAAGATGTTTTTCCGAGCACGGACGTTCTTCGAAAAAAAACCGTCTCAAAAGGTATGCGACTGGCTGGCGACATAATAATAATATGTTTATCAATAAATAAAAATAAAATAAACAAATAAATAACGTTCAACACGTGTCTCGAAACTTCACAGAGTCAACCAACTGTTTGTGTAATATTATGAGCAACACTCGGGGCATTATTGTTATATTATTCCCAACACCCGACGATCTCTCTTTTACTGGTTATGTCCCACATCCCCCCTCATTTAACGTTTAACGGTGGTGAAGACACTATTTACCGTAAAGCCTTGAATATTTCCAGAACTTTCCTCGGTGCTGTCACCTCAAACTAACACCCTTCTACTATTATTTATAGTTAAAAATTTGTTAAAATTATGAAAATAAACTGTAAATGAATAAAATAATGGCTGAAAATAATTATCGTAAATATATTTGCCTTCTTTTTTCTTTTTTTTTTTTTGAAATTTTGACTGCTGTAAAATAATAAAAAACTTAAAATCTACTATTACGTTAGTGTTAATATCATATAATTATTATGTATTTTCAAAGGTTGCATTATAAATTGTATTATATTATAAGTACTATAAAACCAATAAATTCATCGTTTGGCCTAGAATCTAAAAATATTGTACAAATTTCCTGGTAGTTTTTATTATAATTTATTTTTTATTACTAGTATTATTATTTTTCATTTTTTTTTTTTTTTTTTTTATAGTAACTATTATAAAGCGTTAAATTATATCAATATTTAATCATCTTAAGTTATTTAAAATATTTAACTTTTACATAAACTTCAATAGATATTACCATGTATCTGTTATTATTATTAGTGAACTATTAATTATATTCAATTGAGTACTTATTATAAATATTTGAGGTTAAATTATAAAAGGAAATGAAGTATAGTAATTAAAAATGTTTGAACAACTAAAATAAGGATAAAAATAATAAACTGAGTTTCTTTTCTTCCAATTTAAAGGATATTAAAAATGTAAATTGTATGTACTCGTAATAACTAATGATAATATAATATATTTTGTTTTCATAATTATTTATGAATACAATGATGTATTTGTTAATACATAATACAAAAAGTAGGCAATTAAATTAAAGTATTCACAAATATTTAATAAATATGTTTTATCTTTTATTTAATAATATTAATAATTAAATAATTAGTTTTTTTTTATTTAGACATTCATTGCAAGTCTGTATGAATTTAATTATATAAAACAACTCTAGGGAAATAAATGTGGAAAGAGAAAATAAGATAAATGAGAAGGTTTTATATAACGAATTGGACAGTTTATGACTCTTAATTCCCAAACGTCCAACAACCACTGATATTAAATTAAAAAGTGATATTTTATTAGAATACATGTCTTATCATAATTATTACAGTTATAATAACAGTTTTCATATCTATATATCTATCTATCTATCTCTCTATATTTAGTATATATAAATATATATGTGCGCGCGCATGTGTGTGTGTGTGTGTGTGTATTTGTATTTAAATAATAGAACTAACGATATTAACGAAAATAAATATTGCAAAATTTGAAATTTTCAAATGTATAATTAATATAATATGTAGTCATAGTCTCCATAATAACTGTATTTGTAATATTATTGTGTTCTATTATCAAAACTAAATAGTTAGGTACTTAAAAATGATTAATTTAATGCTGTTTAAAATAATATATATTATTTTATGGAAAGATCTACATTTACCGGTAATACAATTGAGTATACATAGTACTATATATACTCAATGGTAATACTTATGTTTTGAAATTTTAATTTCACTAAATGAAAACAAAATAGTAAATACATATTTATTATTTACATGAAAATAAATTCAAAACCACAAGGTATATATCTAAAGTGTATATAAAAATTAAATTAACGTTGTTTTACTGTATGTGTTACAGGTTGGCTTCTTTGTGCTACTTACAACACATCTCTATGCTATAAAAAACATGTATTATAATAAAGATAAAAACTTCTATAGGGACATTTTCATTTTTGTAATAACCGTCTAAAACTTATAAATACACTATTCGTAAAAAGGTAAACATAAACCTAAATTGAGTACATACGATTATATACATATTTTATTTTTTTATTTTGTGTAAAAAACAAGTAAATACTATTTAATTTATTATTCTCTTATTACTATGTTTAAAATAAATATGCGTGGAATTCTTTGTTTAACAGTTAATTATCAATTTTGTGCGAGTATAGTGACTAATAAGTAACAAAATAGTATTATTTTTTTCCAAACTTACTTTGTGTTCTCCAATGTTTTTCACAGAACACACCAAAATCGCTTCCCGCCCCAAAGCGACAGTAACATTTTCCATGGGATTCAAAAACTCTGGCTCTGGCCCATCTTTTTGCACGTCTATAACACAATGATAACAAAAACATCAGTTGATTAAAAAAGGAAAAAGAGTTGTTATAGTTTTAAATTTTTTTTACAGATCTGTGTTCTGTGTTATACTGAATTTACAAATACACGCACGACACATAACATTATACAATATACGTACATACTGAGTAGTTCTTTTACAGAACAACATTCATTATTTCAAAATCTATTTAAGTTTTTGCAAAATGTTTTTAACATAAATTCTAGATGAAATAAAACAACATTTTTTTCAAAACAAATTAAATTTTTCATATTTTTATTTTTACTTTTTGATTGAAAACTTACATTTTTAATTTCATAATCTATAGCAGAATATTTTTTGGAGTACTTTGATACATCAAGATCGAAATTTTGACGTGTAGTTTATGAGTTACAAGTAAATAAATTTAGGTAAGCAGAGTAGTAGATCAACATTTCACGGCGTACCACCCTCGTATCTCACCACCACTCAAAACAAAACTAACTTTAAATACTTATAACTCATAAAGTTTTCGTTGGAATTTCAGTTTTTATGTATCAAAATACTCTGAAAAATATTCTACTTTAGAATATAACATTAAAATATATGTTGTTTTTCAAATCAGTTAGAAGTTAAACGAATTATAATAATAAAAATATTGATAAACATATTTATTTAAATGAAAATTATCTTTTATTTTGATTAAAAATTATGTAAAAAAGATGTTTTCAAAAACATTAATGAATTTTAAAATAAATGTTGCTTAATAAAATAATCGTCCTATATATAATATAATGTTTATTGTGTAATATGTATATTAAATCACGTGGTAAATATATTTTTTAATCTGATATCACTCAACTGTCGTTTATAAAAAATATGTAATACGTATATGAATTATAATGACATGAACTTATCAATAAAGTTGACATTAATTAAAAATGTATCAACACTAATCAGACACAGTCAAAATACATCATACTATTTAAATGCAATTGATTCATTGATGACTACTTTCCCAATGTCGATATCACATTATACCGTGCTATGGCACGATTTCTATGGAGTTTTTGCTGAAAGAAATTTACGTTAAGTTTTATTTTGCTTGACTAATATCAAAATATAATGATTATGAAGAATGATATTTAGCTCGTGTGGCATACGTTAAGAGACGTTACCAGTACCACACCTACGTGCACTTCAATGATATACATTTTGATATTCTGAAAGTATGTTCTTATTGAAAATAAGTATGGAAAATCATTTTTTCTTTACAAAACAATTCAGATACATACTAACGCAAACACTATGTAAGTGTGAAACACGACTGAATCGTTGAGAACTCTTTCATTTCTCCCTCTTTCGTCAACCCACTATCACTACGGTCGACTTATATACACATGCCCTCAAACTCACATTTATTCAAAAGTTTTAATCAAACTAACGACTTTAATTAACGACGACAAGTCTGAACACACGAGATTCGCCTGAAACTTAAACTTGTTTTTCGTAATGAAACGGTCGTTTCGTCGAAAAGACATATATGCTGATTTTCATAGTGGTTGAGTGTCGAATGTGTATTATGTAAAATTTAATATAGTCTACATTTCATCAGCCTATTATTAAACGCATTTATTGATCTCACAAAGACTGCGTGTTGTTGATAAAATGGTTTCTTGTGCGTGCTACCTACGAGACTGCAACAGCAAGTTTCCAAATGTTAATAAACCATTGTTGATAAAACCTACACATAAAAAAGTAGTTAAAATTTTATGCGCTTGTCGTAAATATTTATATGGGTGATGAAATTTAATTTAATATATTTTAATGTATTGTAATGAGTAGTTTTTTGTCTGCAAGAATTGCTGAGATAAATTGGTAACGATTATAAAAATATACAAATATATTATTAATTATTGTGTGACGTCATAATTTTTAAGAAGTGGTTGGTTTTATTAAAAATAATTAATATAAATATATTTGTGTATCTTTATGGAATAATTTTTGTCATGTGTTTTGGATATAATTGTAAGGAGTCATTCAATTTTGATAAAAAAATATAAATATGCAAATTAATTTAAACACCCTAAGTTTCTGGAGTAATTACTTAAAACATAGAGATTTTAGACTTAGTAAACACTACAATATTACATATTTATTAATAATATACATTATGTATATATAAATATACGTATTTTGTGCGTCTAGTTTGACTTCAATTTAAACTTTAATAACCTAATACATTTGACAATCCACAAAGCTGTAAGTTAGTATATGAACCTAGATTCCATACTGTTTTAGCATCAAACTAAACTAACATTTTTTCGGATATTTCAGCGGGTCTTTTGTGGTTGTGTCACTGTACTCGTTTATTTAAACTTTAAATGCCTTTAAATAATTCACTAATTGTTTAAAATACTTTAAATTGAATATAAATATGAATAATTTAAAAATTATCTTTCTTGAAATATTAAATATTAATGTTAATTGACATGCAAAAAAAAAAAAAAAAAATTATAAGTTTAAAAAAAAAATGTTTATTTTTTTGAATTAAATTAAGGAAAAATCTTTTTAAATACCTTCAATACTTTTAAAGAAATGACGATTCACTGTTAAAATAATCAATATGCATATATTAAATTCGATTCGTTTTGTTGTATAAGAAAAAAATCCGAGTTCGAATGACGATTAACATCTATGTAGCAGGACAGTAGGAATTAAGTTGAGTGATGCACTTCTACGTAATATGTATATTTGTGGTCTTATATCGGTCTCATGTCTAATTGTTTTCGATTCATCAATATCGGAATATGGCCTAATAAACTACTCCTAACTAACTGTCAAAGTGTTAATTATTTACATTTTGATTAATAATGAATAAATTTATTCAGTAGTTTCCTATAAATTATGTTAACAAATTAGCAAGATTAATTATAAATTCATATTAACTCGACTAACTTGAGGATATTGGTAGAAAACTATTTGAACTTAATATTTAATATACTAAAATATGCTTCGGTTTTACTCAATACTTTTTTTTTTTTTAATTTCACTGCGCTTACTAGCTACAGACAAGTCGAATTAATTAAATTGTCTTGCTTAACTATCATTGATGAAGCGTATAAATATCTAAACTTATTGATTACAATTAAATATTGTTAATGAATAAAAAAAAATTTAATTTAAAAAAAATCTTAGTAAATTATCATTTTAATAAAATAAAATAAATTAGCTTTTCTAGATCAGATAATTTTATAAAATTATCTGTTTCATTATAATTACAGAGCAAATATATTCATATGAACACTAAAAACAATTTAAATGTATAACGTTTATAAGTTTAATATATAAAATATTCAAGTTATTCGATTACAATAATACCTTACATAAAATGTATTTAAACTATAGTCTTATGATAAAAAACAAATGTTCATGATATAATCAGTGATTTTAAATTTAATTCATTATTTTAATAAAAAGAATTCTTTTGGATGTGTTTATACATAATAGTTCAAAATTAAAACTACTTGTAGTATCATAGGTTCTACCAATAATTGAAAAAAATTCATAATGATAATAATAATGATACTATAATTTAAAAATGTCGCACTAGTGCCATTTTAAGAACAAAAATAGATAAATATAATAACGCAATAGTATAATTACTATGGTAGATACATAAATCAAGATAAATATTTTAAGTATATTTCCGTAAATAAATATTAATTTAAGAAAATTATTTTATTGTATATGATATTATTTTGTGTTACATAAATTATTTTATAAAAACATTTAAAATTCGGAGCAAACTGAGTAGAGTGACGGATGTATTGATTTTAAAATTTTTTGTTTTTTTTTTTTTTGCATGTGTCTTGTGTAATCCAATTGTGTAGGTAATCATTTCAAATTTTAAATATAAAATTTCAATGAAATTTGTCCAAATCGTATAATTAATAAATTATTTTTTAGTTAAAAATTAATAAAATTACAAGTGTTAAAATATAATATTTTAAAATGTAATACAAAATTATTTAGAAGTTATCTGTATTAACTTTGTGTTGTTAAAAGCCAAAAAAAAAAAAAAATAAAAACATTTCACTGCAAAAAATATTTGAATTTATTTTTGGTTAACGCGTACGCTTAGGTTAACCAGTGTAGTACATAAATAAATAGAAATCACTGTATTTCTGTAAAATGTCTCCACATACCTACATCATATAAATATATAAATATATTCTTACATATATAGATATTATATATGTATATGTGAGTGTGTGTATTATTAAACAGAAACGTGAGGCATATGTATAAATATACATATATTCACATTATTATAATAAACCTTTAATGATGTACACTGTATATCTGAAATGGTAGATATTAGTTTTACTGCGTTTTTTTTCGATTCTCTCTAAGCATTTGAATATAACTACTTGCGAACTAATATCATCCGTAATTCCTCGAACTTTTTTCTAGTATTATGAGTATTTTCTTTTTAATATTTTAATTATTATAATTATTATTTTTGTTTTGAAATCAGTCAGTGCATTAAAATATGTATGTTTTAATTTAACCACTATGTAAAACGTCAAGTGCTGTTTAACCGTTTCGTGTAATTCTTTAAGTACTAAACAATTTAAAATTAAGTAATCATGTAAAGTAATTTATTATTGTTAAATGCAATATGTTTGCAAACACGTGTGTATGGTAATACTGTGTGTGCATGTAAATGTTCAATTAATGTAGTAACCTTTTTTTTATAAAATTACAATTTTTCATTTTGTATACTTACTACAAAAGTATATAATATAGCATGTATGTATTTAACATATTTTCTGTATAATTAAATTTGTTTATAAATTAAATACGTAGATTCTGTGTAAAATTAATTATTGAAATAAATCTTTTATGTCAATCTGTAAGTGATAAAAGAAGTTAAAGAAAACCATAAAATAGGGTTTAGTGTTTAAAGTATATTAAAATGGCGTTTAATTAAATTAATATAGAAGAACGA